TGTCTACTCTTCCTCCATGATCTTCTCAAATGCTTAATGACATATTCAATGACATATTTCTATGCTTAATGACATATTCAATGACATATTTTTCTTCACATTTCATGCCTATATAAAGGCCTTGANTATATATATATAAGAACTACTAGAATCTCAACAAATGTCAAATCTGAACCCATAATTTTAACAATACAATGAGTTTAGCGCAAGGTAGAACGCATTAAGAGCCCGTTTGGACATAAGAAATTTTTTACTTTTTTTCGAATTTTTTTTACTTTTTTCCGAAATCAGTGTTTGGCCATAAATTTTCAAATTTTCACTTGAAGATGAATTTTGGAATTTTTGAAAAATTTGAAAAACTCCAAAAAGCTGTTTTTCAAATTTTTCACTCAAATCACTCACAAAACTTCAAAAACAACCCAAAATTATATTCATGTCCAAACACAACTCTAGTTTTCAAATACCATTTTCACTTGAAATTTTTTTTCACTTTTTCCCGGAATTTTACAATTCTTATGTCCAAGCGCACACTAAATTTAAATCCTGGATCTGCCTCCGCTCTCGTAGGTAAAGTACCCTCAAATTTGTCTAAGAAGAAACCAAAAAGCATTAAGCATGACTAAAAAGTAAAGTAACACTCTAATTTAACAATAGTAAACAAATTTAATTTTGGATCAATCAACAGAATGTAAGGTTAGTAAACCTGAGTGGGGAAATATCTGATGACATTTGCAGTATTGCCTCTCCAAAGAGAAAGGACACCTTCATCCTTAATAGTTCTCGAAAAGCAATCAGTAATCCCTTTATACGGTTCAGAAAGTCTACCAGATTTGATCATCTCATCTTGATTCTGAATCAAAAGCTTAACTCTCTCAATTGGTGCAGCAGCTGTCTTAGACACAGCAGCAGAAACTCCTCCCATTAGAAAATCGACAATAAAACTAGTGGTCTTCTTCTCTAACGGAACTTCAGATGTAGCCCGTATAAGAATAGGAGCAGGCAAAGGCTCGAATTTCAGGATAGGCGAATCGCCATAAAAGGACCGTGTATAATTTCATTGACATATCCAACATTCATATTGTGTGAACCAGTATGCTTAGAATGTGTGTAGTGAGATATTCTAGAGAACAGGCACGAGCGCTCATGTATTTTCTGATATATAGATGGATGTTGTAATCCATCCCCCATGTTTTTAGATCAATGCAGTAACCTGTAAGAAGAGAACATATATTATGGCATCTCCCTAGAGCAGAAACAAGTAGAGAAAGAACTTCCATCGAACCACACAGATATAAAATACAAACTAAAACAATGCTACAGGAAATAACCTCTCTAACTCCACAAGGTGGGGGTAAGGTCTGCGTACACACTACCCTCTTCAGACCCTACTTGTGGGATTACACTAAGTTTGTTGTTGTTGTTGTACACCAAAACAATGCTAGTTCCAGTTCAAGTAGTAAGAATGAAAGTTGCTATGAAGCGCTTACCACTATGTGACGGAGTGCTCGAGAAAAGCTGCTATGGATATTACGCAATTACTAAAAAGAAGGTCAATTCCAGTATTTAGTAAAGATTTTACAATCAATAGATACGAATGAATGTTCAATGGTGAATAGATCAATCGGCTTTTTTCAGTAAAAGTTTACCAGCACCAATGTTTACACCAACCTGATGCATGCAAGATATGTGTTTTTCATACGTGCATTTATTATGTAACCATTTTTAAATAATGTGTATTCTCACTTTAATTTTTAACTGCTAAGATTAAATTATTTGATTTGATATACCATTATGTTTATCTCTAAACATTTTATAGAGTAGTTCATAAAAGAGAACAATAGAAATTCAATGACTTTTGGTTTAACAATCATAAAATCAAGACCAGACATACAAAATGAACTGAAGTTGATATCTATTCATATGACACTGTAATATGGCCAAATTTTCATGACATTTGCCATGACATAATATCCATTATTAGGCCAATGATTTCTTGCTATAAATAGATGAGTTTCTCCTCATTTGAAAACACACCAATTCAAGAGCTTTTCACTCTTGTCTTTCTTCCTCCTCCTTTATTTCATTATAGAGTATTTTGTAAGAGAGTGAGTGTTGGGAAACACTTGTGAACCCTTTCTTTGGAGTGATCTTGTGAGGTTATTCTCTTGGGGTATTTGGGATTAATTAGAGTATTTACTCTAATTTTGTACTCTTGTTGGTATAGTGAAATTGCTCCTCTCCGCTTGTGAACGTAGGTCACCTTGACCGAACCACGTTAAATTTGTGTCTTCTTTATATTATTTAATTGCCGTTATTATCAACTTTCATTGTCTTTGTTATTGTCATTATACCGTTGTTTGGCTAAATTCCGCACTACCCGGGTTCCCAAATCTAACAAATTGGTATCAGAGCCAGATCTAACCGAGTTAGTTTAAATAGCCAAAATGACTCTAATAAAGTCTTATGTTGAGAAATTTGACCGAAGTGC